GGGGCCCGCCCGCCTCCCGCCGCCGGTAACCGGCCCCGCCGCCGCTGACCGGCCCTGCCTCGCCCGCCGCCCCACAGACGCCCCGCGGAAGGGCCGCGGCCGCCATCGCTCCCTGCGCTGGCCACCTCCCTGCCGCAGGGGATGCCTTGTTATTACTGCTGCTACTGTTATTACTGTTATTGTTTCAGTTGTTGCTGAAGGTTACACTAACCCATGCAAGTTAAAGGATGCCAGAGGCCTTTGCTCTGTACTCATCAGCCTCGTGGTCACGCCGTGTAAGGGATCCTGTTTCCAACCTCTCTTGCGCCTGCTCATCTCACCCCTGTGCTGCACAAAGTGAACACCACTGAAGCAATCCAGCTTAAAAAAGTGCACCTAGGTTACCAGTTTAACCAGTAGTGCGTTAACTGGTAATCAGTTAACCTTGTTACCACCTAGGTTATCAGTGTAAAAGAATGGTCCTATGGCATCAAAAGCTCAGAAGCAGCCCAGGTGGCCAAGCCCCTATAAATAATCAGCCTTTTCTCCCAGCAGCAGTTTCTGTTACTTTTACTGTGTACTGAAAGTGTAACTTTACATTTAATGGCTGGAGTGCTGTCTGAAATTACACCCTTTAAAAGTTATTTCTTGAAATTATTTTATGGCTGGAGGCTATTAGGCCACACACTCCTTACATTCAATGACAGTTTGTTGGTAGTTTTCATTCGCAATTGCTTTCATTTTTCTTTTAGTCTTTTAGTGGATCTTTCATACAAAAAATAAAGCAAAGCTTTTTATTTTTTTAATAGGGCAGTATGACTGCAGGTAAACAAGGTGCAGTAGTTGAGGTATCCAAAGCCACTGTTTACATGTGTTTGTGCTTTACTGGATTTCAAACTGGGAGTTTCTCTCCAACAGGGTGCAGTGGGAACAGGATGTGCCAAGAATAGGTCCACTGCACTGACTTTACCTTGCATGTAATATGATACTATGTATTAATACATCACCATACTCTTTGTAGTACTTTAAAAGATAACAGTCACTTGTATGCTATTTTATGTTCCAAGCCTTTGAATGGATGTACTGGACTGACCCCTCTGCCCACCCAGGACTAGACACCTGCAGAGTTACAAAACAGTATTTTGGAAGTACATAATGAAATACATATACGCAGGGATGCACATGCAACCTAAACTTGGGTATTCCCACAGAGACTCCTCCATTTGTGCTTTTATTAGACTGGGGAAGAAGCAACTGACGGCAAATGACTGCTGTGCAGTTGTAACATCACTGCCACCAAATAATACTAGAGTTTTCTGGCATCATTTTACTGTAAGTTCAAAATAAATGCCAGCAGTATCTCTTTAAAAGAAACTCCAGAAAGCTGACAAAGCATTTCTTATCTACGAAATAAGAAATTGAAAATACAGTGGCATACTTGAAAAATATCATGCTTGACCACTGAGACATTCAGATTTTATTACTAAAGCTTCTCCTAGGTCTTAACACAAAGAACTACATCTAACAAATTTCCTGTCAACTTGATTTGGATGTTTGTGAATCCATGTTGGTCCAGTAAACATCGATATTCAGATCTACTTCTCTCCTTCCCCTCTGTCTGCACAAGCATGTTCAACGACTGCAGCAAAGCTGTGCTTCTCTTTTTCTTCTCATCATCCAGCACCATTTCAGCCAGCAAAAGATGACAGCCTAATTTAAAAACAAATGCATGCAGCAGTGCTAATCCATTATCAGACAAGAGAGAACCTCAGTTACCCTACAGAAAGGTGCAAACTAAAGGACATTGATTTTATTTCTCTTTTACTGATTTGCCCTCAGCTAACTGACATAATGTATAAACCATGATCCTTAAGGGGAAAAAACAACAACCACCACCACCAAAATCATGAAATTACCAGTTATAATATCAAGGGATCAAAGCCTCACARGTTACCTTATGGCTGTGCTTCAAAAAAGAGAGGCAACTAATTCTTTGGATCTGGTATGAGTTASGGAAAAAATATGGGATGAACAGCACTGCGATTTACTTTGACTATATCACTGCTTCAGACTTGTATTGTAATTGGGCCACAAAGTGGTGGGCAGATCCCTGATGGCAAGCATGGCAGAAGAAGAGAAGCAGCCGACCTTTCACTTTCCTTCTGTGGGGACTGCAGTCCTTGCAGGGGGCGGGAAATCTAGGTAAGGACAGAATTCAAGTGATTCTGTTCTCACGTAGCCTCTTCTTTCATCTTCAAACCCATGAGGGAAAAGCAAAGACAAAAGCATGGGCAGAGCGAAGAGAACTGACAAGGTGAGCACTTCTTTCTTCTTATCTTTTGGCCCTGTTTCTTATGCGACAGTCTCTATCCTAGCACAGTGGAGATAGGAGGCCACTAGGTGAGCTCAAAAAGGATCCATTTCGGAAGCGATTTGGTGCTGCACAGCACCCCTACCTCTGCTCTGACCCTTACAACAGTCCCCGTGGAGCCAGTCTTACCAGCCCACCTCACACATCCGGTAGTACAGTTAACCACAACACTGTGGTCTTTCAGAAGGGAAAAAAAAAAGGGGGGGATTTTTTTTTTTTTTTTTTTAATAGGGGGATTAAAATGCTAAGATTCAGCCCCATATCRTCAACTAACTACAGACACATATAAACCACTTATCCCATAATGAACTGATGGCACAATTACAAGTTTTCTTTGACAAAGAAAATACTCAAGCACGCCTGAGGTGAACCTGAACACGAGTCTCTGTCCAGTGGGATTCTCCAGCTCAAACATAGGCATCCAAAATTTGAATAGCTCTATTTCAGCTAGYCCCTTTTAAAACATCTTCTGTAGCCCTTGAGGCAGTTTTGTATTGCCAGTCTGGAAAAGGAGTTTCTGAATTTTGAACAGCCTGAAAGGAAGGCACAAACAGAATAGCCCTCCTACTTGGCCACAGAATTTGGAACATCTAGAAAACAACAGGATAATCTGCAAAAATCACTGCCAACCAGGAAGATTCATAAATTCACATGGTAAAAGACTAGCATAGGGAAGAAAAAAAAACTCTGCAGTTAACAGTTGTTTTCTAATGTAACTGAAATTCTTTCATGAAAGGGATTGAAGCAGAACTACCTTTCAGCTCTTCCAGTTAAGAAGTTTTGCCCATGATCAAAAGTTACTAGTCATGTACAATTCCCTGAATTAAAAGTCATATAATTCAGATTATAAGGGTTTAGCAAAAAMATTAGCTTCCAGCCTAAAGGTAGGAAAACTATGTCAAATGCCAGCTACCTAAAAACATTTTTTTTTTTTTTAAATATACATAAAATGCCTCCACTACTACCAAGAAGTCAGCGAACAGAGCCAAAACTGAACTGATGGCTCACAAAAGCTTTAGCCATTAGCTTCTTTATCACAAGCTTATATGTGCTGAGTGGTCAGGGGAGGTAGAAAATTAACATAAAACAAATGACTGCAGTAAGGTACTTAACAGCAAAAGCCACCTGTTGTTAGCAAAGATTTGCCTACAAATATTAGCCTCCTTTGTAAGGCAGTCAAAGTTCACTGGCAAAATGATGCTGGATCTCTCTAATATTACAGCATTTTATTTCAATAAAACTCATTGTTTACACCTTGAGAAAGTTTCCTTTTTATAAAGCATAGCAAAGCTGTGATGCAGACACCATGCCCACAGGGCTAGAATTCTWAAGTATAAAATGCTGTGCCCCAGAGTACACTGAGTTTGTACAGTAGCCAAGCACACTTTTATTCTGTTTTTAGAGTGAGTAATTTAAAGTCAGTGAGTCAGTCATTTTACTTAGAGGCACAGGTTTAAGTCTGCAACAATTTCAGGTACACCAGGTTTGAAATGGCAATGCTATGACTCAAACAGTTTCCAGTTGCCTAAAGAACAGCATTGTGAACTTGATGAATAGCTTTATGAAAGGAGACATCTAATAACTAATTTGTATTAGAGACACATTCAAGGTAAGTACAATGGTAGACATCATGTCAATGCAAAAAAAATGTTTCTAGTTTTATTCAAGTATCTGGATATTTTCCTCGCAAAGTGACTTATACCTCTAATGTTTTAYCTACTTAAATAGAAATTGTTTAAACTTCTTCACAGAAGCTCTTCATGAATGCAATCTGGCCTATCAGGGCAGTCTGATTATGTTTCTTTGATTTCATGCAGCTGAAACTCTGTACTAAGCACGTTCCTTATAGGGTAACTTGCCTCGTTCAATGCTCAAAGAGCAAAGGAACTTCACCAGATAAAATAACCTAATGTGGAGCCTGATGTGAGTAATTCTTGACCCTGATCATCAACTCTCTTAAACTGCTGAGGTCAGCAATCCAGCCCACATATTGCTTCTTTTACAACGGCTCATCCTGTAGTTGTGTGGCAAGCAAAAAAACTCAAGTCCAAGACAAACACTAGTTTTAAAGTGAATTTCAATCTCCAGGAAAGATTCTACCACAAAATACATTTTAAATAGAAAAAAAAAATATCAGTATAGTATCATGAAAAGAAAAATGGTAACATCAATGGACTTCTCTCTCCAATTAAAAACTAGAAATAGCAATTTCTTCATGTTCTATATGTAATTTCAGAGATTTTTTTTACAGATCTTCAAATTCTCAAAGAAAAAGAAAGCATATATGGATACTTTAATTAGTTTCATATTTTTTCTGGAAGTAAGGAACAAAGAAGAACAGCTCTTCGCTCCTTGGAATGCACTGGTTGKAGGTCAAAGGCTACTGAGGTCTAGAATGTTGTTGCTGTTCTAAGAGCTTCAGCGTTTCTCACCTTAGAGCTTTGCTTTTACTATTGCCTGAGGAAACACATGCCTAGGTAAAGATATACTTGAGTGCTTCTCACTAGTCCCACAGAAAACTGAAAAAGAGGTCTAGTAACRCCAAACTGATACAGATGATAGTATTCATTTTAATTTCTAATACAACAAACAATAGTCTCTGAATATAAYGCACAACGGAGAATTCTCTGTATTTTCTTTTTTAAAAAGTGTAATGAAAGTAAGGTGTGAACGTAGCTTATGCAAAGTAGAGGTCTGAACTCCTCATACTATAAGGCTAGGCTTTAAATAACTTGCAAAACCAGCCAGAAGTAGATATGAAGGCCTGTAACACAGGAGCTCCAGACTGCACCAGACACTTTTTATATGGGTAGAAATCATTCCTACACAAACTGCAGTCAAAGCTTTATTAAAAACCCGAAAGTCTATGCCACTATAACAGGTAACAGTTAAAAATGATCCTAAGCAGCTGACAACATCTGCTGATTAATAAGCATATAGTACAAATGTTATGAAAGTTTAGTGTCCCAGGTTATTAGTGTCTGGGCACACTAAGGTGACTGACTTTTCTTGAAGCACAGAACAGCATCTAGTAAGTTTCCTGTCATCTTAATTTGTACATTCATGAATCCATAGTTCTCCAGGAGGTGTTTATATTCTGAGCCACTTCTCTGCTTGCCTTCAGTCATACTGAGGGACTGCAGGACAGCTCTAGGAGGATGCATCTTCTGTTCATCAAGCACAATTTCTGCCACTAGCAAGGCATTTCCTGCATTCCCAAAACAACCAAAAGGGGTTCAGTAAAAAATAAATTAAATCTAACTGCAAGTGTATATTTTTTGTTGTTCTTGTTCAGAGTTTGACAGAGATGAAGACCGATATTTTATTTTAGTAGAAGCCAGGAATAAATGTGCCATTTCAGTAATCTTCCCTGGAAGCAACCACTGAATGYCAGAAGAAAGGGGGAGCTTAGAGCACCATCTCTGATCTTCAGTAAAGTTTAGATTACTTCCTGATCATGATCTGAAGCTCAGTCTTGTTCCCAATTGAACTAATCAGCTTCTGAAACCTGCCATAGCACCATCTCACATAACAAGGCGAAGACAGTCATCCACAATTCTGTTTTGTTATTTAAGAATTATCCTTGAAGGCCTAGATTTAATATTGAATGCTACCCTATGAAATAACTACAGCTCCTGTTGGATTAGGGAATTGGCAAGGCATTACAGTCAGGTGTTTTTTCCTTTCTCCTACATTTTGCACTTTTTTTTGATCTTTTCTACTGTCCAAACGCAAAAGAATGAACAAGATACTACATATTTCTCAAGAAACTTGTGCATAAGGTAGTGAATTCCAACATGCCATATTTTGGGTACTACTGAAACTACTAGAAAACTGCCTCCTCCTGATTAAATTCAATTGCCTTTATCTAATGAGACTAATCACTACACATGTGAAATAAGCATGTGCTTAAGTACTTCAAGATAGAAGAGAGTAAGAAAAATACTAAGGGCATGAGAAATGGAGCAGATTAAATGGTTATATGCACAATTTGCAAAGGCTTCTTTAATATTAGCAACTTTTTGTTTCCTTTTCAGGGGCAATATAATGCAAGCACAGGCATTCAAGTAAATACAATTTGGACCAAAAAAATATGTATTCCTTTTTAATATGAACTTTATTATCATCATTAACCATACCCCTGCAAATTCACAAGACAAAAAAAAACTTACCTGGTTTGCAAACAGATGATATTTTGCTTAATAGCATATGAATTTTTTCATCAGGCCAATCATGAAGGACACGTGAAAGAATGTAAAGATCTACTTCTGGAAGGTTATCCTTGAAGAAGTCACCTGTTGGAAAGCAGAATTGTATCTATAAAAATCAAAACAAACAAAAGAAAAAGCACAACTTGTGGAGGAACTGGTTACATGTACAATCTGCAAAGGSTTTTTATATAGATTCCATGACTAGCAACTTTTTGTTTCCTTTTCAAGGGCAATGTAATGGAAGCACAGGTATTCAAGTGGTGCAGTGATTTGTGACTACAGTTACAAGGACAGTATACTTGAAGAAYAGATGATAGTTAAGAATTCAGTAACATGCAGGAATGCAGAGAAAAAAAATAAAGCAAGAATGGTAAGTTAAAAATCTTTTGCAGGCACCACATTAGTGTTGCCTTATCTAGGCAACAATAAGAAGTCTGAAATAAAGACTTGCAGCAAGCCTACATCTCCTGCAGGACCCATAAACATGACTAATTCACACTACCTTATTTATCCACTTTCTCCAGCCATAGCAGTTGTTTTATTTGCCCTGCAGGTTTACGGAGAAGTAGAGAATAACTCTAATTAGCTTGGGTAAACCCATATTGCCCTGTGATAAAAGACACACACTTGGGTAAACCCCATGGTGATGTGCTGAAAGACAAATATTCAGGTTGGCTGCTTTCTACAGCAGGTAAGCCTGCTCTGTGCTTCAGAATAATAGAAATAAGAGGACAGAAGTCACTTTATATTTTTTTTTACATTTACCTGATATAAATGTCACTGGAGCTGTGCATTTTCCTGAAGACTGAAAGTAAGAGGTGTTTGCAATGATTTCTGGAAGATCAAACACAGTGACCTTCAGATCTGGGTATAGTTGTACTAATTCATGAGCCAGAGCCCCAGTACAACCTATTGGAAGGAAGAGAGAGGGTGGGAAGAGAGGAGAGAGAGAGAAAAAAAAAAAAAAAAAAAGGAGAGAGGTCTTTTGTCACAGCATTTGCAAGCATTTTTAAAGACAAAGCTCAATCTAACTATAGGATAAGAGCATGAAGTTAGAAATAGAAGCTCCACAAGGAACATTGACCATAGCACTTCCTAGTGGATGGGTCTTAGCTTAGGCAACACAGGTACTATTCCATACTCCGTCACAGACCCGCAAACATAATAAGCCACCTAACTGCTTAGTGGGTCAGTTTCTTTCCTTCTAAGAGATTAATGAAACCACCAAATCTTTTAATATGTGGGTATAGAGCATTACAGACACCATGGATCATTGACAACTAAACTCTTGCACATGGTCACTGAGAGGATGCTGTCTGGACAAGTGGCAAAGGATGCATCACATGTGTTAAATTCTTTGACACAGAGTAAAGTCTTCCTCCTTCACTGAAACTACTCTCTATGCAGTATCACCTGTTCCATGCAACCCTTGTACACAGTGAAAAAGGGCAGTAACAAGCAAAGTTTCTTCAGGTATATTGCTGGTCTTCACAATTTTGGTGGTCATCTTTGGATATTAAGAATACAAAAGAAAAAACAAACCCAAACAAAACCTACAAAAACACACAAACTGAAATCCATTCTAGAGGATTCCAAAAGTTTTGTTCTAATCATTGCAGTGTTTGAAGTGTGACACCACCACATGGAATAATCCAGAAATCACTAGTGCTTCTGAAAATCCTGAAGAGATGACAAAGGGCAGCAACAGTGCAGTTGAAAAGGGAGTTTCCATTGCAATACACGATGAGGTGAGCCACAAACCTTCYGTTTCCTATGTTATCTCAGCTATGTCAGTACTGATKGTCAGCAAACATTTGAGTAATAAATTGATGTTATATAAGCAACTCTGCTTTCAGCTAAGTACAGTTAGCCCTTCTATTTGGGCATTACAATAACCAGACAAATATCACTAGACAGTTTTACTCCAGTTTTAATAAATAAAATATGGAGATGAAGTCAAATTTTCCCTATAATTTAGGAAAATACAAGAGGCAATACCTCCTAAGTCACAGGCAGACTTAAACTGAGAAAGATCAAAGGCTGTAGCCACATCTCTTGCTGTCAGGTGGGCAATGCTGTGCATGGCAGCCATAAAGCGCTGCTTCACCTCCTGGCTCTGATAGTAGTCCTATAATAAAAAAAAAATATATATATACACATATATATTTTAAATCCACCCAATAGCCAGACTTTGTTTTCATTATTAAGACTAAACTAAACTAGTACTATGTCCAACGSAGGGAGCAGGAGTTATTCTACACCACTAACATGAAAAATCTAAAACTGAATAATTAGTTCGAAGTGACATTGACCAGTTGCTCATCCAAGTTTCATTGTAGTGAGAAGCAGAATTTTACATCTTCTCCAAAACTCCAATCAGAAATATCTTTTGCAAGGCTTTAAAAACAAACAAAAAAAATCAACAAYGAATATTTTGGATGTTTTAGATGCAGATTTGGAGAAGCTTCAAACAAGGCATCTCTACATCTTAATCTTAAATTGGAAAGCACAGATCTGAGTTTCTCCCATCAGTCTTATGGGTTTTTGTTTTGTTTTTTAAATATATTTTCAAATTGCTTTCATTGAATTCTGACATTTATTTTCCTATTGCAAGAAAGTGACTAAGCAATCAGATAGTATTTTAAAATAGGGGGATTAAAGCTCCTATTGTTTTTGGAAGGTTGAAAAGTACTCAGCACGAGAACTTCATGCCTTTTAGCTCCCCAATGATGCTTAGATCTCACTCTCATTCAGCCCTCAGCTGCCTGTGGCTTTACTAACCATATAATGGAAGGAGCACCAAGTAGTGGCACCAGCACATAGACATAGCAAGTATATTCTGCCTGGACACACTATCCTGTGCACGAATGAGTCCAGGCCTAAATTGTTAGTAATTCCAGGTGGCAGGAGCTGGTGTAATGACCCAAGTGAAGGCATTAATCTGGCTAAGTAACACAGGAGAAGATCCAATTCACCTATCTTAAAGTATCTAACTTGCATATGAATTCAAGTGCCTACTGAAGCAGTCTTACTAAACCAAAGTACCTGAGTTMCCTTTTATGCAGCCTTGGAGGAAGTAGTCCTCCACAAAGATGTGTCCACAAGAAATGAAGGCACTAACATTAGGCTAACAGCATCTTCTCGCTTTGCCCTAAACCAGGTTTTCCCGCTCAAGTTCTTCACAACTACTACTGATACAAGTAAGAATTTAGACTACCTTAAATAAATCCTCTGTTTTCTTTCCAAAGGCTCGATGATTCTGCCTGGCTCCTTCTTTGACAGCAAATTCCAGGTTTGTGAAGAGAGGCCAAATGTGGTCATTACAGTGCATAATGTAGCCATGAAGGGAATATTTACCATCTGAAGTCAGATAGGTATTTGTAGTATCTGTATTACTGTAGCCTTATCAGTAGGAAAAGAAAATGCAATTAGTTCTGTTTCAGTGCTTGCAGTTGTCAGTATCTGAAAGCATGTTTTCATGTGCAGCTAGTAAAAGCAATCTTGRGATCATAGTATCTTCTTTGTATAACCTCTCCTATGCAATAAAGTTCTCAATTTTACAGGAACAGAATCCAATAAGAATTTCATTTTTACAAAAGAAAAAAATAATGAAGATAGACAGGCACTGCTATTTTTCCTCTTGCTAGGAGGTCTCATTTATACAGCTATTGTTGAGGGAAGATTATTAGAAGTTCCTCAGTCTTGGCTACATTTCTCCTCAATTACACCTCTTCCTTCCCCCAAACTCAAGCTTTCTCCATCTCTCTGCATGTTTTGCACCTTTAGGACTTTCTCCTCGGTCTTGTCCTCTAGAAAAGTTCAAAGACTTGCATCCTCTTAGCACTTAACCTTTTCAAGGCTTACCACTCAAGCAAAACATATGGTAATAAGTACAAGTGTAGACTGAAAAAGTTAATTCTGCAGTTGACTTGCTCACATACRTGCACCTCCACCATGATACCAGTTAAGAGTCCCAGCATTTAAATTGCAGTCTATAAAGATGGACATGTTCCAGTGTTCTCCTCTCAGTAATACTCAGAGGTTCTGCTAAAGCTGGTGCTTCTATATTGCTACATCAGCAAAGAGTATTTTGTTCTCATTTTATGCTATACATTTGGGTCATTTACACTGCTCACTAAAACTGCCCACACAGATTTTCTTTTTTAAATCTAGCAGTGGCCAGTATTTTGTCCAACGAGGAAGCAGGGCACAGAACCTAGATGTCAGCGTCAACAGTGATCTCAGGGCTCCAACAAAGGAGACTTGAGGTACTCTCACTTAGACTTGCCTGYCTCCAAATAAATCAGTTTCAGCTTCCACCATTTCCCCAAATGCAAGTTACCCACAACATCACGTTGGTCCCCAGGATAAAGCAGTGATTTTCAAGGCATTTTTCTAGTACTACACAAGAACTTTTCTGCCTGACTCATGAGACCAAGGAAGTAAAAAGCACAGCTTCATCAATTTGATCCTTCTTCCTCCCTCTCCCCTTTACATATAAGGCAGTAAGAAGTCACCCTGAGGTGTTTTCTTCAGCAATCCAAGRGCAGCACATGCATCAAGGAGTCTTTCTGTCCCGCACAAGGAAGCTCCAATCTCATTTGCGATATCCACAGTATTCAGTGAMCCCTTCTTTTTCAGATGATCAAACACTTTCAGCTTAGAAGCTACAAACAAAGCCTGCGTGTGAAAAGTACTAGTTAATCAGTTACATAAAAAAACTGMAATCAAGACCTATAACTCCACTTCTTGTCCGATACAAGCACATCCTAGAAACATTATTCCTAAAGTAGTCGTGTAAGAGTAACAATTCCTAACTGTTATGATTCCTTTCCTTTCCTCTCCTAGCAAGTTTCAGTATCATATAAATGGGAACATGAAAGATTCTGGAACAATYTAGAGATTTTGTATAATGAGGATCTATTTTTTCCAGATATTCAGCCAATGGCGAGCTGTAAGCATGTTCCACAGTTAAACGTGCATATTTCTGAACTGATGCTAAATAAAGGCCATAATTGATTTATCTGCAAATGTACAGAATTTAAAAGCCCTAAGAATGTTCCAGTTACTATAAGAGACTAGTCGCTGCTCAGCTTGCAGARGAACACAATCTTAGGAGCCAAACTCTACTGTACTGAGACCCACAGCAGGACAGATACATAAGAAATGGAGGCAGAATAGTTATCGTCTGTGGGGAGGGGAAAACAAACAAACAAGCACCCCACAAACCACAAATAAACCACAACAACAACACATGTAATGCAGCTGAGTATGTTGGAAAAAAAACTCATCTGAACTTTCAGAGAAATATTTCCCATTGATTCAACATGAGACTCCAGCCTGAAGTCCTAGTGTGAAGGACCCACTACTGTGAAAGGAAAACTTGCTTTCTGCTTCTATATACAATTGCCTCTGCCTTTCATTGCATAAAACTCCAGCAGTACCATTCCCGTGAACAGTGCACTTATATGCATAAACAAAATGCTAGCGATTTTCCACACTTTGCATTCAACTTTGAAAACACTATGTGGCACTCTACTCCTTCAAATGTATCCAAACATATTCCTTATGAACGCATCATGCTTGAAGGGTCTGGCACTAGCCCTGGCAATACCTGCTAATACAGCCTGCTGTTGTTAGCAGTTAATTTTCATTCTTGCCTGATCAAAACAGGTTTCAWTTCACTTAGCTGCATTTCGCATACAACTAAGAAAGTTAATTACTCCAATTTATAGCCTAATACACAGCAGTCTCCTGTAGTATCCAAACACGCTGTAGAAAGTCTCCTAATGTTTTTACTTCTCAAATCAGAATAACAATATCACATGGGCAGTCCAAGTTTAATAAAAGAAAGCCAATACTGAAAACACTTCACACGCTAAAAGTTTCAGCTATTTTAGTTTCAGACTCTCTAGAGCTTCTACTTAGTTTTTAAAGACATTCTTGCACAAGCTCAAATATTTCACATTACCTGCTAGTATATGCTAAAATCTACTGAAACAATCATACCTTAGGCACACTAGTGGGTAGGATTTTTGGAGGAGTCTGTTTTTACCTTTGAAGCTTTAAAGCCATCCATCAGCTCTAGAATTGTAGATGGAACTTTTGCTGCATTTTCCARTACTCCATTTTGATTTTCCAAAGGTACCATAAAACCAGTTTTGACACTGTAACTCTCTTCTGAATTGCACGCAGGCCCTGAATGATGTGTCCYACTATTGTCCGGCTTGTTAGCACCTTTATGTCCTGCAGGATGCGAAGATTCACTTTCCCCATCACTTAGGTTCTCAAAAGTGTCCACAGAAGGGATAGAGTCATGCTTTGTGTGTTGTATGCTATGTTTAGGAGGTGGACAGTACAATTCTACTAGCTTTTTGCAGAAGTGATTCAGAGGAAATCCCACCACATTCAAGAAGTCTCCATGGACATACTCAACGAGCATTCCACCGAGGGCCTGGATTCCATAACCACCAGCTTTGTCCCTGGGGAAGAGAAAATAGACAAAAAAGCTGTGCCTAACTAAAGTAAGGACAGAAATTGATAGTAAAAACAGCACAAAGTAGCCCACGAGCAGTGTGGAATCTGACAAAAAACTAGCTGGTTCAGTGGATTAAAGCTGCTAACTAGGCTCAACATTTCAATTCATGAATTGCAATACAAACATAAGGATCAATGTTTCTATTAGGAGTAGGTTGCCTCTGGTCTGTGAGCTTCAGAAAGGGCAAGTGCTAAAATCCCCTAAAACAAAACTACATCATCTGAYTGCAGTCAAGCTGTTGCCATTAGTTACAAAACATTCTCCATGTCCTGGCTACACAGCAGAGAGAAACATCAGAGACCAACATGGCCAGTGCATTACCTAACCGCACAGAGGATCTAGTCCTATAACAGGGCAAAGATCCTCAGTAGTTTCTTAGCCCCAAGAGAACTCAGACTGAAGAAAACACTTTCAATCTCAGAGGACTAAGGTATGTGTCTTTTGGCTTTCAGTCACGTGAGGATCAAAAACAAAGGAAGTTACGCTGCTCCTCTCCAAGAATGTCCTGTTCAAACACAAAATCCACGCCTGTCCTCTCAGCCATATCCATAGCCTTGAGCAATTCCAGTGTAACCCCAGTGAGCCCAGTAAAATTATGGTTCACTTCATTATTTGTATTACAAGACATTTAAGAAAACAATTTGGTGCAAGTATTTCATGGTGAGCAGTCTTGGACATTTCTCTTCAGATGCAGGTATGCAAACCCACTGCCTAGCATAGACCTGAATACATGCTGATACTATCACAGCCAATCAAGTTAGCAGTTTTTGTAAAACACAGACAGTTTTGCCCACCTCAGAGGGGAAGGGAAGCAGAACCAGGCCTTTTTTACCTCTTAGGAAAAGAAACAGGCAGTTGCCCAGTGGCCCTACACACAACATGGAATGAGTGACAGGCCTGCTTTCATTTGCCAATTAGACAACCCACAAAGTATCTGGGGGGCAGGTACAAGAAATACATTTGTTAATGAGTTCTGCTGAAATGAAGAACATTTTCATACTGCAGTAACACAATAAATTAAGACAACATTCAGAATTAGTTCTGGAGTAAGGAGAGTACAACTGGCCTTAGTTTTGTAAGCCTGTGTCTTCTGTATATATAGACTGGGATTTTTCATTTTACATTCTGTGACACCTAAAAATCTCACCTTGTCCATGTACTCTTAGAATAATTACAACTTAAAAGACCTATTTGCTTACATCATATCACTTTGAAGGAAGCAACTTTCAGAAATTATGCACTGAAAGAGATTTAGACATTTATATGCCACATTTTATTACTTTAAAACTAAATCTGAGGCTGCTCTCGGCTCTGTACGCGTATCTTCTCAAACTACAATGAAGTCGTTTTGGTTTCATTGCCACTCTTTACAACAAGAAAGCTACCAAAAAAAGCCACATTTATCTTCAGATACCTAAGAACAGCTTTATCTGTCTCTGCTCACAAGTAAAAGATCACAGAATTACAGGCCAAACAGGATAGCAGAAACCAATCCATTCATTATACAAGCCAGAAATATTTTTAATCACTATGACCCATCCATCTTGCTACAAACAGCCAGAAAGTAAGAGATCTTGCTGGATAGAAAAAAAACTTTGATCAGAAAGGGAAGTGAGGAACAACAAAAAAGAAAACATCTTTCTACAGCCAAAATGTTGGAGGATTTTAGTATCACAACAGCCTACCTCAAGAGCAGTCTTTCCCTATTGCTTCTTTTTTAGAGGAACAATATACTTTTAAAATTAGTTCCCATCTCTCAGCAATGATTATACATTATTTTATCTGCCAATTTTRTTCTTGCTATAACAATTAATCAAATCTACAAAAAGACACAGTTTTGTGATGTTGAAAAGTAAAAGACTTCATGATTACATGAACTAATAATTTATAGTCTTACTTTAAAATATTAACAAATGGTCATTTGAACTGCAATAGTGATTTAAAAGCCACAAGCACACACGCACTTCTTGTATAAGTACACAACCTGTATGGTTTGCCATGCAGACAAGGGCATGAGTTTTGTCCAGTGTTTTGCATAATTTATCCTTACAGTTCTCCCATTCACCTACCTTTGTTTGAATGAGTATCCTCTAACTATGTTTAGTGAGAATCAGTATGCAAGTTCCCTGAATACCTCAGATAGAGATAATTGTATACTGTAAGAGCACTTGCTGTAGAGTACTTCAGTCGTCATTTTTCAGGTTTGTTACAGCAGCAAAAATTTAATTAAGTTTCCCTTGTGCAATGCTAGTTCTAGACAACATGAACAGAAAATCTGTGTTGCATCACCCATGCTATCATCTATCATACACACAGCAAAATGCTGTACAACACAGAGCAGAGGCTAGTAAAGTATCCTGTCCTTAACCACTATGTGATAGCACCAGGTTCTTACTTACATGGGCTCCCCACTATGAATGTATTCCCATAAAAGCTCTTCAGATAGGTCAGAAAATTTCACTTTAGTCTCTTCATAGAAATCAGTGACTTCCAACTCCAGCTGATTATCTGCAATTAGAGAAAGCTTTCACTACAAACAAATTATAACATGAGGGTAATACTTTAGAAAACTAAAATATTTGAATTAATTTAATTTCACAGCCATTTGATAATTTCGCCTGAAGATTAAAGGTAGATACTGAAAAAAATATATAGAATAACTAATGGCATTCTGCAAGGACAGTAAAGCTATATCTGTTTACTTCACCCTGCACATACTCACTACTTTGTTTAATAACATGTTGTTATACATATTACTTCCTTAATAACACAAAGTTTAATAATAAAAATTGCACTGGGGGRAGGGGAAGGGATTTTCTACGCTTTRTAGCTATATCTCACAGTCTAGCAGGTTACTACTCTTGATGCAGTCCATCTTAATTACATGATGGCAGGACTATTTATGGGCTAATATATACATGTGCGCACATGTGTGTGTGTGTGTGTGTATATATATATGTATATCCTCCCCAACATTCAATATAGGCACCTCTACTCTTAAAGAAGCTTTAACCATGATGCATTAAGAACATCACACACACCTACATGCACAGCTGAATCTGTATTGCAAACTCATATCTAGCAAGTCTCTCAAACTATTTTTATAACTGTGAAATCACAGTAGAGCATTAGTACCATTTTTCAAGACATCAGGAATTTCCAACTTCCATATGTGCAAGCAATCATGAGAAAGTAACAGGTGACAAAGTGGTGCACAATTGGTTACAGCTGCTCTGCTCTGGTGCTGCTCTGCACCCCAAATCTAGGATTACTGCAGAAAGAGGCCGTTACAAAGAACATTCCAAAGAAAGCAGCCGTGAAAAATTAGGTATGCAATGGGTTGCTAGCATGTTAAAAAAATACTAACTGACTCTTCCTTCCCTGCAGGAACATCAGCATCTCTTGTTATTACTGTGCAGATCTCTAGTTATCTTTTTTTTGTAGCAGTGGAAATTCCTCATGCAGAGCATATAAGAGATTCACAATACAGATCAGGAGAAGACTGATATCCAACTGCTAATAGTATAAGCACAGAAAAAACACAAATTAAGGAAAAAAAGAACAAAAATCACATACACATCAATTACCATACACACACACAAACCTACATTTTAATTAAAGAGTTGTCATATAGAAAGATCGATTTAAAACATTCTTTTAATGTTGATAAAGGTATCAGTTCACCTGTTTACATATATGCAGTGCTTAATTACAGTACTACAATTACCAGCTACTGAAGATAGAGAAATCTTCCATTAATCACACTGCTTGAGGAATATATACCTCATCATCTTTTTACTCATCATTAGCTGCTTTGGCTTAATGTTTTAAGCTCCAAATGAGATTTGTAGTCACAGACCACCACTACAATTCTGTGCRGTTTTAACTTTCCTTTTAGAGTAAAAAGATCAGGGTTTTTTTTCTCCATATTTTTCTTATGAAACGCTTGATAACGTAAATTTTTCCCCAGGAGTTTCTTYTCCTGCGAGCACACCTAAGGGTACTGAAACATTGGTACTATCTTTGTTAAAACTAAAAGTAATCATTCCAATAAAGATTTTGTAAAGAAATATCAAGAGGAAAAAAAGAGTATGTCCACTGAAATTCGGGACAGTAGCCTTGCATGTCCCATTACTGGACCCTTGGCATGAAATCATATGTAATCGAACAATCCTAGGAGTAAATTAATGATCTGGTGTTCATTAAACCACTCATTTTATATCTGAATTATCTATTCAATATAAAATTTTTACTCCCTACAGYTCGTTAGGAAATTGAAACATTAAAAAAAAGTAACTCCAGGGCAACCTCTTGCAAGCATCAGTAAGGACAAGCAGAACATAGGAAGAAACTATTATACTAAGGTTCTGCTCAGTCTTGCATTCTTTAGTACGTTGCTTCCATTTCACTTAGGACATTCCCACAAGTTTACATTGTCTAGAGTAGCCCCAGAGCTTCCAGAAACAATTCTTGAAAGGCTATTGTATTTTGTCACCCTCTTTCCTTTGGGAAAACTGAACATAATAAAAAGGTTGGCTTTGGTGGAAAATATCCACCCATAACTTTGTAACATAAATTTCTTCTCAACTGGGAAGCCAACTCAGGCTGCTTACAAGAAGTTTTCACCCCATTTCTTCACTTGCACAAACAATCTTTATGAAAACAATCCATTTTTTTTCATAAAACACTGAATTCCAATAAAGTAACACACATACCTTTACTGCTGCAATGTATTATAGCCACTCCTGTGAAAACACTGTGCTCTTTCCCACTCAACCTATCAGGAAAAATTGCACATTAGGCAAGAGTTTTATGAAATTTGTCATCAGCATAAGTCTTACACATGACTATGTTACTATAACTTGGAAAAAAATAGATCACTATATAAATAAASCACTCAATGGCTCCGAGATGCATCCTAAACAAACAGATTTTATTTCTTATTTTAATGTAGTTGAAAAGATACTATCAAAAACAGAAAAAACATCATACAGATTCAACTATTTCAAATCTGCCTCATACTAATGTCCAACATACATCRTCTATATCTTGGGAAAGTATTCCGGGATACACATCTATTACTTTTCCCCACGTATGGAAAATTTCAAATGCATTGGGAGGAAGGGGAAGAGGAGAGAATCTTCTATCATTAAAGACAACTTCAGTGAAAGTTGACAATAAMGAGCTCTTGTTTAATCTAAGGTGTATAAATAAGTGGTAGATAACTACTGCTTATGCATTTATCTGGATGACTATCCCAGGATTGATGTGTTCAGCTCCCAGCTGAGCCTACTAATGGGCAAAAAGCCTGAGGTAACAAGGTCTCTCTCACTGTGGCTTCAAAGTGTCACACTCATTAACTCCGTAGGCTTTTTACATCTAAAGATTAGATCTTATATATCTAATGGATAAATAATCCAAGTGTAATAAACTTGAGTTGAAGAGACTAATTCGGCACCTAGCTTGCTACCATGCATGAACAAGATGAAAAAAACCTCTTAACTTTTCCCAGCAGTAAAACACACTAATATCGTTTAGGAAAAAGAACATGAGAGTTTTGCAGCCATATACTGCAGGGAATTTGTACAGCTCCTGCTGTAATAGGTTAACCTATACATTTGCAATCTTATGAAAATAAGAAACCTTGACAGCATCCTGTATGCATCTTGCTTATCAACTGGTTTCTCCAAGATCTGCTCATCCACGGTCTGAAAAGAAAAAAAAAAAAAAGAAAGATGAAAATACTCTATTAATTAATTCCTACTTTTCTGAAASGGAGGAAGGATAAAAGACTTTGAAACTATTATTTCAGCCCAGTCTTCAAACATGAGTCTACTGAGCAGAGAAAGAACCACAAATACTGTGTGACAAGCACATAATGAGTATAACTCTATATGCCACCCTCCACTATCAGGAGATTCAATAAAMAGGAGGGTAATACAATTTCTCCTGTCATCCATTGTTCACTCTTTGCAAAACACAAATATATACAGTATCTGCTAAGGAACATATCATCAGACATCTTATATGATTTGAACTTCCTGATGGTCAACAACTGCCCAAATAGAACATCACATACTAGCAGACTTGAGGCACTACTTATTTATAACTTGTGCCTCTGCAAGAAACATAATTTTTGTGACAAAGCTGTTTTGACATAGAACTTGCAGGTATTTCAGTGATGATTTCTCAGTGAAAAGTTCTCAAATTTATGTTCCAAGATACAAGCGTTTTAAGTACTTGTCATAATAAAACAACACTAAAATACATAGAGCTTCTTACCACAATAGTGTCTGCTCCTATAACAATATCAGGAGTTCTAAGGTGTTTCTGCAGAGGTAAAGAAAAAGAATGTATTTCCCAAAAAAAGCAATAGAAAAAGGTATACTAGGCAAGAACATATTAATATCCAAGCTAAGCAAAGGTAAGTTCATTAAGCTACATCTACAGCTCTAAGATGACCTGAAAAGGACTCATTTTATTTCTCCTTTTGTACCACTTACAAGATAGACACAATTGTTACCTGAGAAAGGTCTGCCCAAATAGTCTGTGTTCAGCACTTTTATAGRGATATAAATGGTTACTAAGTTACTGATGAACAAACATACCCAGGAAAGAAACAGTTTTTCATTCTTAACTCTGTCTTCAAAATGGCAACTGGAATTCCTTCAAAGCAAGTATTTTGTGTATGAAAATCAGAGAAAAAATATCAGAGGGCTTTAACCCTGTTTGCTTAGCCAAGTCTTGCCAAAGAACCTTTCTTTTACTATATCCCTTTCCCCTCATGTCCCCCAAAGAAACAGATATCAAAAGGAATCACAAACTGTCCATCTAGGGAAACTAAAATCAGGGGTAAAAAAAAAAAAAAAAAATTTTTTTTGACCCTTTCTTTCTGAGTTTTAAACTGTAAATAGTCCTTATTGTTTAGTTTTGTGTGTCATCACATCTACTGTGATTACTGAACATAGCATGGAATTACTTTTCTCTGAAATGGTAATCATTAAATAAAAAAAGTTTACAGAGGCAACTCTTATATTGTTTAAAATGGTATAGATAATTCAAACGATCATTTCTCTAGATCTAACAGAAAGAAGTGCCTTGAAATCATTATCACCAGCATAATGTTTTGCAATGAAAGTTCATTATACGTGAACTATCTAGGTTTAAAAATACACTCTGCTGATGTCACACCATTCTGGAAAGAATTTGACAGAAACCTGGATAACGATTTACTTCAGAGACTGTGCAATATTTGCTTTGAGGAATGGTGGCATCTGGCACAGGATTGCTTCAATGGATACAGTCCACTTTCTAAGATGAGTCATTAAGAAATTATTAGCAGCTTATGACATATTTTATGGGATCTTATGTGTGGGATCTCATTAGGTGGACTTTTGTATAGGTCCTTACATAGAAGAGCCTGATACACTGATATCTAATGATTCAGGGTAGGGGCAGATGTCAAACATCATCACACTGATATTATGAGTTGCAGCTTATGATATTTAGGGAACAGAACAAATGCCTTGATTACAGTCATGTTAGTTTCCCCCTTCTTAATAAAGGGTCTCTTTTTCCTCCAGAATACTTTATAGCAGTTACATTTTTGTGTCACCTTTAGCATTCCTCTAGCACCCTTTTATTCATTAATCCTCTTTTGTTGCAATTACTGTTCAATGCCAACTACAGCAAAACATTGCATTCAAAGCTATTTTGTACAGAATCTGTACTTAGTCAATAAATACATGGGAGAACCATTGAGATAAGAGCTAATCACCCCAGATACAAGTCATAGACTTGACTGTCGCAAGGAACTAGCAGTTGTATGTCTCAAGTCAGTGTAGGTATGCTGCTGACAAGAGATGCAGGCCATTTCTTGTGTTCATTACAATCCATTACTCAGTTATCACACCTCATTTTGACGAGATGAGTTAATTTCTTTATTAAAAAAAAAAGCAGAATACATCCATTTACTTTACCACAAAAAAAGCACATAAAAAGGATGTGCAAATGAAATTACTAACATGCATGAAAGGCAATAGTAACTGCTGGAATAGCTGATCACTTACTACATGCATTCTGTTTGCTACTTCAAGAGCTTTCTGTCTTGCTGTTTCTATGGCATACTCATAAGGAGCTGCAAAAGATGACTTTTCAAGAGTCTCCTTAAACCAAGATGGAACAACCTCAAACCGTAGACCCTGCAACAAAGACAGGAGAGCCATGCAGTCAGTCTGTAAAAGCTAGATATTAAACAACTGAAACAAATTGGGTTATAGCTCTTTCTAAATCTTAACTTTCCCTTCATATAAGAGGAGGGAATAAGGGAATGTATATGTATCCTGTACAAGCAATGCAGAACAAAAAGCATCCTCATCAGAATCAACTTTTACACTGGCATACTTATTTTATGCTTTCTATTTATTGGAAGCTAATCATGCAATTTCATTGTTCTTCTCTATAAAAGAGAAACTGCATAGCATTTACACACTCCACAAGTAGTCTAAACCACACTGTGTTCGTCCTTCACACTTTACTAACCCTATAGCAGTACATGCTTTAATGGAAGTCTATCTACACATATCTACATTATTATACATATGGCTRTATAAAAACACTGAAAAGCCAGTATCTGCATGCAGTTCTGTCACTAAAAACCTTTTTCCTCTCTCTCCTTCCCACCATTCCACCAATGGACGGGGTTTGTTTTTAGTAAGAAACCAGCACATGTTTCTGCCTCTGTGCTACCATCCTCTTCATATTTTGCAAGTAATACCTAAGAAAACCCAGTATGTATTATAACACACTCAGGCAATATTTAAAAAAAAAACCACTTGCCATCTTTCCAGTACGGCCTGCATATTTCTCTCCAGAGTTTGGGTTTATGATTCCTCTGTATTAATACACATACAGAGCACTTTAGAGAAACTATGAAGCTTGCACTAAACCCTCCCAAACTCCTCCGTTATGTCCCAAAAGTAATCATGGTGGCATGGCACTTAGCAGGCTGAGCAAACCCTCCATTCACCCTATTGCAGGCCCTYCCCTTCAGCAAGAAACTTTAACCTCTTGCCCATTAACGCAATAGCAAATTAAGACATTTGTTTACAGAGAGGAAAATAATGGTTAAACGGGAAAAGAACTGGGATAAAAACATAGCGTTTCATGCCTGCACGTGCCAACAGCCACCCACCTCAGAAAACTGAAATGCTTATCGCCATTGCCAGCAATAACCAATAAATAAATATTAAACCAGCTGCAGTAACAGCTACGACTGGCTGTTTTAACCCACACCAGCTAATGGCGGACCGGCACCGACCAACGGCCGCTAGCACCGGCCGCGCAGCCGTTTAACGGCCGCTGGGGCGCAGCGCGCACGGCGCCTGCGCAGGCCGCGCCTCCCGCTCTGCCGTGCGCGGCCCGCGGGCACTCACCGCGTTGGTGAGGATCTCCTGCCGGCGCGGCGAGGCGCTCGCCAGCACCACCCGCTTGCTGACCAGCTTGCCCAGCACCGGCTTCAGCGCCATGGTGGCGGCGGCGGCGGGGCCCGCGCCTCCCGCTGCGCCGCGCAGTGCGGAGCGGGGGCGGGAGCAGCGCCCTTTATAGCGCCCTGCGCGGGGCGGAGCGGAGCGGAGCTGAGCGCGGCCCGGCCGGGGCTGCAGGAGGCCCCGGGCACGCAGCGGCGTCAGCGGAGTGAGCGGCGCCGTGAAATGGCGCCTGCCTCGACCTGGGCGCCGGGTCGCTTCCTAGGGGCCGGCCTTGACGCCCGAGGCCTCCCCGAGTCTTGAGGCTCACCGAAGAGGTGGTGACCTCTGTTTCCATGCTCTGAAGACACCATTACCACCGCATAATGTTTTGCCAATAGTAGTGGATAGAACGTCCCCTGTTTTGCCTTTTTAAGGGAGTAAAACTGCACTGCATAAAGATCAGCTTTATTAAAAAACAAACAAAAAAAAAACAGTGGGATGTGATTTCTTAGCGGGCTAGCAATAACCTGAACTAAGTGCTCTGGTGTTACAGCACAAAATAACCCTTTGCCATTTAAACAGTAGTTTGCACTGAATAATCAYGTCTCAGTGTATGAGACTCGCTCCTACATGATGCTCACAGGCAGCAAACGTCTGCCTGGCACAGGCAGCGCCAACAGCTTCCTCCTGTTCCCTCTTGGATGGTTCGAGAGAGACATCCGCGTGGTGGGGAGGGTACCTATGGACGTGACGTGTCCCCGCGTCGCTTCCTTGCACAGCCAGTGTGCCCAGTCACGAGCCGCCGTCCCCGGTCTCCTCAGTTGCTGGCGTTGGGACACACGAAGCCCTGGGACCGCCATCCCGCCCCAGGGGCACATGTGGGCCCCTCACACACATGCGCAAACACACAAATGCATCCCAGTGGACCTCAGATCACACAGTATTTGTAAAACACTATGAAAATATTATTTTAAAAATGCTAAAAACTAAGGGAGCTAGAATCTTAAGGCACCRGAATCTTACTAAGTAACAGAAATTCATTTCTTGGCACACTCAGGTCAAGGATGTTCTGAAGTTATTTTGGAAAAGAACTATGTGCCTATCCCCAGTGTCTGAGAGTTTAACATAAGCATAAATGTTGATATATGTACATTTTCAGTGTCCCTACAGCATCAGCCCAAAAAATGGAATTACAGTTGCTGCGATTGTAGGGCTGCCCCTAGGATTAGGGGCATACTTCTTACCCATGCCATCACTTTATACTACGCCTTGCTATGCAGGGTGTATGAGCAAGCTCTATTAACTAAATTCTGGCACTCCGGAGGAGTGAGATGATAATACAAAGTGTTGTGTCTCCAGCAAGGTTTACTCTGGTTTACTCTGATCTTTTCAAGTATAGTTTCACTGACATAAAAGAGAAGTAGAAAATTGGTGACTCTAGCCCCATATATATAAAGAATGGTCTTGGCRGAAAGAAAGCCTTCCATTCCTTCTGGTTTGTTCTGATAGACAATAATAGAATGRCACTACTGATCTGTCTCATCATTTATAGAGGCTATAGAAACATATGCAGTATAACTCATCTTTCTTATATGTGTGTCTGTGATCCAGTTAATGGAGGAATAAGACATGACTTTCCTGATCAGCATTCTGATATGCATTGTTTTTCTCACCTGCAGAGAGATTTTTACTGCAGTAAAAATTAAAAAAAATACAAAAGAAATAGTTGGAATTTATAGTCATTTCCATGACATCCAAAAATGGAAATTGATGCAAGAATTTGTATGTGAAAATAATGAGAAGTGGCTTTTGCTTATTATTTTCAAAGGCTGGTAATTTCTAAAGTTGTTATTCTGATAGACATGCAGGATGAAGTGAAAAAACAAAAACATGAAGCTGTCAAAATACATATTTTCATCAACCTTTAATGTTATTCATGCAGATCTAAATGTGCAGTGTTCAGAGGACCCTATGTGCACGAGATAACATCAGATAAGCTGACACAGCTAGGAGAGATTTGACAAGAAATCTTTCTGAGCTGTGCTATAGCAGCTGGCGGGAGCCAGAGAGAAAAATTGTGAGACTGCAGTGAGCTGCCCGAGATGAAGATCGATAACAGCAGCAGTTATCAGGAAAGTTTCTGTCTTGGCTGACTGTGCTAGTCAAAGATTAGCTTGTCCAAGGTTGGTTACAAAACTGCTGACTTTTTCAAATATATGCTGCCTTTTAGAAAAGGCAAAGTAAGTGTTAGAGTTCTGAATTGCAAAGACATTTCTTTGATATTTTTGTTCTGGACTTCTATACTTCTGCCTACATATTTATACTATGACCATCACTGTGGTAGCTGAAGCGTGTAAAGAATATAGTGATGAACAAATTCTTGTGTCTGCATTTATGTATATTGCAAATAAGTGTATATATGTGTACATTTATCTGGTGCCTGAATGTGTTCTAGAGTCACAAGGGTTTCTTGTGCTGCACTGGTAGCTCAGCAGTTAAACTCAACGTCCTCCAGTCTGAATTCTGTTTCCAACTAAATAATCTCTAGTGAAAAAAATAAATAGTGTATCAAGCTATAAAGACCAGTGTTCCTAAACTGTTCATATGAAAAAAAAAACCCACAAAAATATTTCATAAAATATTTTCAAAAGATGTCTGTGTGTGTATACACAATATATACACACAAATTATACACACTGTATATCTGTGTGTGTGTATATATATATGTATATAACATGCAGACATCTGTATAAAACAGGATATACTAGTATATTTCTGTAAGTGTGAAAACCAGCTTGTTAAGTGTTCCTCCTCTTCTACTTGGCACATTATAAGGGATACTGTAAAGACAACGGGGTAAGGTTAGGAAAAGTGAGGATAAGATGCAGGTGATGGAAGCTTTATTGACTCAGCTGGAATCTCAGCTCTGCTGGAAAATGATTTCTTAAATCCTACGTTGAGAATATTTGGGGAACTCTTACTTACGTGTTTAGTCTATACATTTCCACAAGAGGGCAGTACATTCCACTATTTCYCTAAATATTTGCTTAGCATTCTTTAAAGCAACAACATCTATGGTAAAGTGGGCCTTGTAAGGAGAAAAGATCAAGCACCAATCACAGTCTAAGTCCTAGTTCTAAATATGAGGACTACTTAATAACTGTATGCATGTATGTGTGTACTTACAGGTATAGTCAGAGCTAACATTGAAGTCAAGAGGCCTAGTAATAACTTAAATGTTAGTGTTTAAACATCAAGATTGGAGCTCTTGAAACTGGAACATAGAAACGTTTATTAGCAGATTAATAGTTGCTGACATATGTTTGTAACAGGAATAAGGTCCCTCCAACAAATTTTCATGATTGTAGGAACAGTTAGGTTTTTACGTGACAATTCCACATTGCCACTCAAATGCTTTTATCAAATATGATTAAAGTATATTATACCAAAACTTACAGCAAATATTGTTATAGACATTGTTTTGTCTTATGTCTTCTCAGCCATTAAAGAAAAAAAATGTCTGCTGTGTATTTTTATACTTCTTTGAAGTCTTAGTTTTAGCAGCATTATCTATGAGTGTTTGCCTTGTTACAAAAGCTCAAATGTATTGTCATATTAAAAGTACTCCAAGTGGTTTACATTACTTAGAATAACATGAGAGTGCAGGGATACTGATACATTCTACATGTACTATGGAAAGCACCTGAAATATGGAAAGGAAAAATGTTCATCTGTGGACAATCATGCAGGAACTGGGGAAACAGAATCATCAGAGTCTCATTGCTGAACAGTTTTGAAGAAAAAAAAAGCCATTGAACCTCACAGACTGAGGACAGGGAGATTTCTAACTAAGAAGGTGATGCAGGCTCTCTGTAGACAGGTGATAGAAAGAAGACTCCAGTCATTTAAATGACATATTTGCACTTGTTTACTGAAGTCCAATGGGTTGGGAAGGTGAGAAAGACCTACTACAGCATTTGCTGAGGTCAGCAGGAGTTTTCTAGGTCATGAGCCAGCAGGGCTTTCCATCAGGTGAACAAGCTCCTGTTTCATGAAAGAAGACAGCAGGATTAGAAGACAACTGTCAAAAGTCAGAAAAAAACAAGTCTTGGATAGAAATGTTGCTGTTGTGGTATGGATCCATGGTAATTTGGAGATATATGGGGTGTATCAGCTCCTGAATGCAATCAGAAGCCAAAGCAGCTGTCATGTAGCTTTGAGAAATGGATGGGGCAATCGACATGAATTGCTACCAAACATCAAGACACCTAAAACAACACTTGATATTAACTTTTTATCAGATAAGTTTCATGCTTTGTGCTTAGTAAGCATACATTTCCAGAAATAGGAGTTCCTATATTTTCTCTGTATCTAGGTACTGGTTTGTTTGCCTGTTAATCACATTCTTTTTCTTACAGCAGGCATCTGGAGATGTGCTGCTGTCTCCTCCTTTTGCACTGAAGAGTCTCCATATTCCTAAAATGAAACTGTCAGTTTGTGAAGAAAACTATTTACAGACCTTATTTAATTGAAGAGTCACTCCTGCAGAGAATATTTTTCTGGTTATTTTTCCCAACTCTCACATACKCTATTTCTCCCTCCAGCTGCCACAGAAATTACTCCTTCAGCCCTTCTCCCATCTCTGTCTTGAACCTGTTTATACCTCCCTGAGTTTTGTTGTCCTCTCACCTTTGTTAATCTTCTAAGGTGTATAGCTTAGGAGCACATTACTCTCATCCTCTATAATTATGGGTTTGGCAACAGAACAGAATGCATGGAGTACATACAAATATATTAAAATGAATAGTACAGGTCAATTTCTGCTCTCAGTAACATTTAAGTCTACAGACTACAGCATAAATGAGAAGAGGTAGTACAAAATTTATTGCAGTAGAAAATTCCTCTTTTGTTCTGGACAGATTTGATTGATGATTTCAATAACCAAGGCTTATATCCCAACTAACTTGCAAAATTCATTAAATATTGGAATTTTCATTTGAGACACTTAAAGAGATGAAGCTTTAGCTACATCTGAAAACTTTGCCAACAAAACTCTCCCAATGGATTTTACACAGACAAGATACTAACAGAGTATCA